GCTGGCGGGCAGCGTCCCACTCATCCTGCAGAGCAAGAGTGCCAGCTACACCGACCAGGCCTTCTTCAGCTTCGTCTTCTGGCCTTTCAGCCTCAAGCTGCTCTGGGCGCCCTTAGTGGCCGCCGTCTACCTGCGGAGCTTCGGCCGCCGCAAGTCCTGGTTGGTGCCCACGCAGTACGTCCTGGGGCTCTTCATGATCTACATGTCCACCCAGGTGGACGTGCTGCTGGGCGACGGGGAGGGCCGGGGCCCCGACGTGGTGGCCCTCACTGTGACTTTCTTCCTCTTTGAGTTCCTGGCGGCGACGCAGGACATCGCGGTGGACGGCTGGGCCCTGACCATGCTGTCCAGGGAGAACGTGGGCTACGCCTCCACCTGCAATTCTGTGGGCCAGACGGCCGGGTACTTCTTGGGCAACGTTCTCTTCCTGGCCCTCGAGTCGGCCTCTTTCTGCAACAAGTACCTGCGCTTCCAGCCCCAGCCCCGAGGGATTGTTACCCTCTCAGGTACTGCGTGGGTACCGCCGGCCTGTGTGTGCCGGTGCTGGGATGGGATGCCTCTTCCCTGAGCCTGGGCCGAAGCTCCGTTCAGAGCGAGCAGTGGTTTGGTGCCAAGAACTGAGCAGGTTTGGTTTGTCCCCTGCCCGTGAGAAATCACGGTGTGTCGGGAGGCTGGCAGAGTCCACTGCTGCATGCGCTGAGCTTCCAGGCTTCCTGGAGCTTAACAGTGTGGGATACCTGCCTTGTCGTTCTCTTAGCTGATCTAAGCACTTTGGAGAGATTTTTTTTCTGCCGTGCTTAGTGACCATGGAGTAGATTATTGTTTAAAAAAAGAAAAGCAAGCTCTGCCTCTTTCTAAGTAGGCCTTCTAAGTACATCTCCTGCGAGGAAGGAAAGGGGAGATGGAAACCAAATGGATTTTTCCAAGATGGTACGGTTAACAGAAGTAGAAATGACAAGTGTTCAGGGCTGACCAAGTAGCCAGTTTCTGAAGGAAGGCCTTGTTTTAGTAGATCAAGGAATTTTGTTTCCTCTTTCTTTAATGAACTAAATGGAGTCCAGTATCCCCTCTGTGACTAGTTGTTAATGTAGGGATGTCCTCTTTGGTAGTTTGGGTTTTTTTTGTGTGTGCTATTTTTCTTTCAGAAAAGGTATATGGGGTGGTTGATTTATTACCTAGAAGTTGTTTAAAATGCAGTGGTTTGGTTGCAAGGTTGGGTTTACCCAGCTCAGCTTGTGGGAGGACAGGAAAAACTGGCACTGCTCCTGGCTGCAGTCTCAAAGTGACCGTGTCTGGCAGCGAAGAGTAAATTTTCATGGGTTTAGTTCCTTTTCCCTCTCTTACATCGATTGCTCTGTCCGTATCATCTTGAGTGAAAAGATACACGGAAACTCATTTTCCCTGCCTGCTCCTCAGTGCTGGCGTGTCTCTTGCTGCAGCAGCAGCCTGATGTCTCCTGCTGATGCAACTTGCAAATCACTGATGCAGTTGAGAGTTCACTGTGTCTGTACTTACCTTGCTGTCCAGGTTTTCTGTTACCTTGTATGGTGTTTTTTTGTTTTTTTTTTTTTTCCCCTCAGTGCCATTTGTATAAATGAATTTGACACGAGTACAAGAGTGCTGTATTTGAAAACAAAAAAAAAAAATTGTCCCAAAACCTACCAACACAACCTGTTTGACTTGTCCTGGAGTGCTAACCTGGGTGGAGCAGAAAAGCAAATGACTGTAGTTGTAGGATATGTTTTTCTGGGTGGTAAAGCTGGCTGCAAGATATTTCTGTTCCCTTATTGATGTGACTTTAGGCCAGAGTTTGCTGTGTCCACTTTTCCTGAGGCAGATGTAGAGCAGCAGTACTAGAAATCAGCTCTCTGCAGCCCAGAGAGCAGCTTTCTGGTCCTCATAAAGGGGCTCGGGAGCAGCCCGTTTAGGCAGTTAGAGCAGCAGAAAACTTTGCAGCTGTATAAGGTGAATAGTTTTCTGCCAGATCTCTGAATGCTTTTGCCATAGGCCGAGTGCCAGAATTAGGGAGAGGACAAGTCATGGCCCCAGGTCAGTTGCAAGATGTTGCAAAGTGACAGCATTAGTTGTTGTTGTGAACTTCAGGAAATAATCATCAGATCATTAAAGTCAGAAAAGACCTCCAAGATCATCAAGTCCAACTGTCAACCCAACACCACCATAACCACTAAACCAGGTCCCCAAGCATCACATCCACATGGGTTTTTTTTGAACCCTTGCAGGGATGGTGACTCCAGCACCTCCCTGGGCAGTCTCGTCCACTGCCTCACCACTCTGCCAGGAAAGAAATTCTTCCTAATATCCAATAATAATACGAGCAAACGTAAAACTGTTCATCAAAACAAATGCTGTGCTGTCTCGGGCTGAAGCTCTAGAGAAGAGAACTGTAACCCCATTTCACTGGGCATTGCCTGTGCTAGTGTGAGTTCAGCTCTTCAAAGGACTTGTTTCTTTTCAATGTTTTGAAAGGAGGGAGTCAGGGGGAAACTGACTGGCTGGGTTTGTTGATCCCTGCCCAGTTTGCTGTGCAGTCATATGTAGGCAGAGAGGTAATGTGTGGGAGCAGGGCTGCCCCTGCAAGGCAGCCCAGGTGTGGGCTGATGACTGTGGAGCACCTTTGCTGCCTTTTTGCTGCCTGGAGCCCTGTCACTGCAGGATTACTCCTGGCTGTTGTGCTGAAGTGCCTGTATATGGCTTATATATGGCTTTTTTTCTTACCTGTGTTCTGCCTTTGGCCCAGCCATTGTGCTGCAGCTGCCAGGCTGCCTTGATCCCCAGCGTCCATGTGATGACGCTCCAGACTGTCCCCATTCCTGTCCCTGCACTGGCAATGCTCAGGGCTGTTATTAGAGTGGCACTCTGCTCTGTTTTCTGTATGCAGTAGCTGTGATTCGCCTGACTCCCTAAAAATGCATCTTTTACTTAAAAAATTGAAGTTGAGGGTGCCTTTTTTTTTTTTTTTTTTTTTAATGGAGGAGAGAGCAATCTGACAGTATTGGTTATGGATCTACTTTACTCCAGAAAAGGCAAAAGTAGCTGGTGTGGAATCAGCACAAAATGCTTTGAAATGCCTTTTTTTTTTTTTTTTTTCTGTTACACTGGGAACGGTTGGATGTACCTATACTAGTCTGGTTTTCTTGCAATCCTGTTGTGCTCATTCTCTTCCTGGGCATAAAAAACAGCTAATCATCAACTAAACCTCACACTGTCTCTGCCCTTTCACCAGCCCTCATTCCTTACTTTCAAGTCATCATGAGGCTTCTGGAATTGCTCATGACTGGGAAGATAAAAGGCTACTTCTGTCTCACCCTCTGCATGTTACTGAGTTCTTTCTTGCCTCTTTCACAGAGGTAGAGGTTAGGATTATTTTAGACTAATCCATTCACTAACTCAAAGTCCTTGCTGTAAAGTATGGCTGTGTTTTTACTATTTCTGTTTTCAAATCCACGATTCAGCAAGTATTATATCTGTTTAAAATAGACCATGTAAAAACAAGCATAATATCTGCTTAAAATAGACATATTTGAGTGACTCTGCTGTGTAAGAGCTTTCATCAGGCCATCTTTGTACTTCTAATTATAAACGCGTTTCCTTCAGGTGGTAAATAGATATTATATAGGAAGTAGAGAACTGCAGCACAACATAATTACATAGCTACACAGTAAATCAGCTGGAGAGTTGTGGATGGCTTCTTCCCCTCAGATTTTTTCCCCGTCTTATAACTATTAGGTCCTTGTATTCCTCCTTTATCAGGTTTTCATGGTTGTATGTGTAACCCTTCAAAACTTTCCTGTTTGTTGCTGTTTCTCCAGCCTGCTCCCAGCACACCAGGGAAGCGACCTGGTTTGGTGCTGCACCTCTGCCTCCAGTAACTATGGGGCTGGTTCTAGAGCAAAGCCAGTCACTGTGCCTGGCTGTGTATGTGTGGTTTGCTTTTGCTGCTTGTAGGGAGGGTCGATGAGTAATGTTCTATGCAATTTTTGATTACTTGGGTTATATTTTTGCATTTTAGGTACTCGGTGAAATGTTAATGAAGTGGTGTTGGTGGCTGGTAGAAATAATTTTTTATTTTATTTTTCCCCACCTCCAGATTTCCTGTTTTTCTGGGGAGCTGTCTTTTTAATTACCACTACACTGGTTGCCCTTTTGAAAAAGGAAAACAAGGAGCTAACACCAACTAAAGAAGAAACAAAAGGCATCACTGATACCTACAGGCTGCTATTCTCAATAATCAAGATGCCAGCAGTTCTTACTTTCTGTCTCTTGATTCTCACAGCAAAAGTGAGTAAAGACATGCATGAATTGATGACGTCGGAGTCTGAAAGGCTGCAGAGTCCCTGTGATGTAACTTATTTCTTAGTTTTGCTAGTGGTTGTCATCAGCGTTCTGAGTTTTCACATGAAATTTGAAACAGAAATATCATGGTGCTAGGCAGGCTTGTACAACAGAAACAGTTTGTGTGAGCATCTGTACGTGTTCACACAAGCAGTATAGAGGAGCTTGATTGCAAGCTAGTATTCAGGCAATTAGTTTTAAAACATTTTTCATCAGGCTGTTCGTGTAGTCTGCAGTGAAAAGGACAGAAAATGTTTCTTTCAACCCAAATACTATTTTCAGAGTCTGCATCTCTGTATGAGCTAGGTTTCCATGGCTCTTGTTGGCCCTGGTGGATACTAACAGCGGCTCGGGCACAGACGTGAGTGTTGCTGCTCAGTGTAATGCTGCTGGCATAGTTTTGGCACTGATGGCAAGAAGAGTGTGCAAGTGCAGAACATGTCTCAGAAATTCTTTGGAAATCATACTGGAGACAGACATGACTTGTAGCCTCTCAGATTTCTTAATTTGCTTAATGCTGAGTAAATTGAATTTCTGTCAAACAAACTGCTTTCCTGAGTTTGTTTTGTATTTTTCTACCTTGTATTGCAGGTTGGATTTTCAGCAGCAGATGCTGTAACGGGACTCAAACTGGTGGAGGAGGGAGTCCCAAAGGAGCACTTAGCTCTGCTGGCGGTTCCAATGGTTCCTTTACAGATAATATTGCCTCTGATTATCAGCAAATACACAGCAGGCCCCCAGCCACTGAACACCTTTTACAAAGCCATGCCTTTCAGGTAAAAGCTGACAGATCTCATTTTATAGCAGAGTAGTAACTTAGAGATTCAGATCAAGTGCAGCATTCCTTGTGTAACTCTGACTCCCAGACACAAGAAGCCATGGCAGCAGTCTCACAGTCAGTTGAGCTCTGGCTTGTACCTTGAAGGCAATTTGGGCAGTGTCACGTATCAAGATGCAGCACACGAGGTGGTTTGAGGATGGGTAAGCAGCACTGTCCTGCTCCTATTCACCATCCAGAGCTCCTTATTCCTGAATTGCTCCTAGATCTGGGCTTGTATCTGCAAAACCAGCTCTCACCAGTGTGAGAGGGGCAGAGTGTGTGGACAGATCCGTTGGTGCATCTCCTGCGCGTGTGCTTTCCACGGTATCCCAAGCTGAGTTAGGCTGACACAGATGAGCATATGTTTCTTTTCTGTGTTAAGCGTTTGATATTAGAGCTGTCTTATGGAATTTTAAACTAAATCAATCAGCAAATTCATGCTGTTACTCAGTAAGTCAAGTAGCATGTCTGTAACAAGGTAATGTGTTCTTATGCTGCTATGTACAGGTTTTGCCAAAAATAAAGGGTAGCTGCTCCTGCTCCAGCTGAACTTGTTTGGATATCTTGAGTGCTGCCTTCTGCAAAAATAAATCCCTGTGTGAAGGGCAAGGGGAGAAAGCTGGTACAGGAGGCCTGGCAGTGAATTATATGTAAGACAGTGTTGTTTAGGTATAAAACGTTTACATTTTCAGTCAAATATTAAATACCTAGTTTTATAAGATAGTAGTTGTAACTAGAAAGAAACTATTTTCATATATGTTTCGTGTATAAATGTTCACCAGTTGCTTTCTATCAAGGAAACATGTGGGAAGAATTCCTTGAGGCATGAATTATCTTTCTTATTCCTTCAGATTACTACTTGGTCTGGAGTTTGCTTTTTTGGTATGGTGGACTCCTAAAGTCAAACATGAAGGAGGATTCCCTGTCTACTACTATGCTGTAGTATTGCTGAGTTATGCCTTACACCAGGTAACACACCCTGTGTGGGGGAAGGAGGGCAGGAGGGTGTTTCCTATCAACAAGAGGGTGATAAATGCTGTTACTTGCTTCTGCCCGGAGTTGTGCTAGAGTTCCTCCAAGTCTGACCTGTGTGGATCTATTTACTTCTGATACTCTTCCTATTATTGGTCCCTCTTCCATGTGCTCCATTGGACATCTGTGGAGTTAAGTTGACCAGATCTGCTTTATTTCCCAGATTTCTTTTTTTTTGTCACCAAACCCAGAAGCTGAAGAGTATGGTAAAGTTGGAGAAATCCCAGTGTTCTGAGTTTCATAGGCATGGTGATGAGCGTACTTATTGTGCAGGTCCGTCAAGTTATGTGATCCTGGTCCTAGGGAAAATACTTATTGATTTTTGGAGGAACATCACAGTGGATCTGGTCCAAAGGCCTAGAAAACAAATGCCTGATGCTGATACAAACTGGGCTTTGGGTCAGAACTAGCATGTATGCAATGCCTTGAGAGGTGATTTTAAATGCAAAAGTGTTATTTTATAGGCTATTTTAACTGGCCATATTATACTTCAGTTTGATAACCTGAGTCACTGCAGTGCCTGTGAGGCTGGGTCCACTTCAGGATGACTTGGCACAAGTGGCCAGGCTACTCTCCTTACACAGATTTCTCTCTCCTGCAATTTTAAGTGGCTTGGACTATTTTTCAGCTGACGTTACTTGCTTCAATTAATCTCTTAGCATTTTGACACTGGGTTTTTTAGCTGTCGTTGTACCTGGGGAGGCCTCACTGCCTGTGGGTTCCTCCCTCCTGTGCAGATCACGCTGTACAGCATGTACGTCGCGATAATGGCTTTCAACGCCAAGGTCAGCGACCCGCTGATTGGAGGGACCTACATGACGCTCCTCAACACCGTGTCCAACCTGGGAGGGAACTGGCCTTCCACTGTGGCACTCTGGCTTGTGGACCCGCTCACAGTGAAGGAGTGTTCAGGGGCCCAGGATCATACCTGTGGAACTACGCTTGCTGCAGAAGTAAGTTTTGGGGGCTGTGAAGGCTCCTCTTCAATTATTTCATGGTGAGATTGACTCGCTTGATTTTTTTCAACTTCGAAAACCTTTGTGGTGCATAGCTTGTGCTTAAAAGTTCCCACTGATTGAGCTAATTTTTCTGTCTGATAAAATTAAGTCTGGTTTTATCCCTAAGTTCTTAATAATTAACATTTTACCAGATATTTTCAGTTACAGAATAGTTGTCCATTTCTTCACAGGCTGAGATGACAAGCTGGTGGTAGAATCACTAGACTGGTGCCATGTTCTCCACGGTGTAAGGAGGCTCTAGTTACTTTTTTGAGAGTAAACCTCACTAAGTTCAGAGTGGTGTAATTAGGCGCTCTGTTCTTGGCAAGCTGGCTGTCCCTCAAATCCCCTAACTTACGTCATAGGCTTCCATTTTTCTGGAGGCTTCCTACCTGGATACCTTGATACCTTCTCCTGTGATGTGACTTTGCTCTTCACTTTCTGTGTAAAACTGAGCAGTGTGACTGAGCTGCCTTCCCAGTTCTAGGGAGCCCTGAGGAAGAGAACGCAGAACATGCTGTGCTGCCATACACAGCTCAAACAGGACACAAACCTGCCTGGAAAGCAAGGTTTCAGATCAAAACCTACTCATCAGTGAATGAGTAACTGTAACGTGGTTCTTTGGAAGGGTGGACATGCTTTAGGGAGTTTTTGCTGGGTTTTTCTTCCTATACTTGTGACTCGAGATCGCTTTCACTCTTGAACACCACAAGTCTTCAGGATGTTGAGGTTCTCTAAACAAAGTGCTCTAGGAGTCCAGCGTGACTCGTTTGAGCTGGAGCTGCAGTTTGTACAAGTTGCAGAGGGGAAGCTGCTGCTGCAGCACGTGCTTTTCCAGCCCAGCTCTCACTTCCTTGCCTCTCCCTCTGCAAGGGCCTCTACTGAACTTTAGTCCTTCCTCCTTCACCTCACTATCCTGATCTTTTCACATCCTCCTCATTGGGAATATTCCACCAGAACTCCCTTTGTATTCATAATCTGATCTTGAGCTGTCTCGGGGTAATGAAAATGCTGGCAGAACCTCAGCTTGGGGGATTATAGTGATACTTAAAGCTGAACAGTAGCAGAAAGGATCACATGCTGTACGCTTACCCTTCAAATCCTGGAGGTTTTGTGTTTTCTGTACTGCAATTAAAAACCATCCTGGGCACGCTTTTCCCAGAAATGCACAGCATTTCATACTGTCCTTTTGCAGATTCAGTGTGGTGAGATACAAAGGTATAATTTCTAACGAAACAGCGTGGATGGCTAGGAAAAAAAATATCTATCTTCATGTGTTAAGAGCAGCGATTGCACCTCCAGGCCAGCAGGAGACACATGGACAGTTCCTGCTTTCTCAAGTTAGCTCCATTGCCCAAATGTTTTCTCATGGTTTTGTTACTCTTCTTACTGGTGGTAAGCTCGCAAACCTCTCTTACTACCTCCACAAATCTATTTAGTGATAGCCAAAAGCAAGTGAAAAGCAGGATATCCAATGCCTGCTTTCTAAAAGTCAGTGTTTGTGGAGCTCCCAGAGAACATGTAATGCGTCAGCTTCTGCTTCTCTGTTTCAGCTCTGCACGAAAGCTGGTGGCTCCTGTGTCACCACCCTGGATGGTTACTATGTGGAATCCCTCATCTGTGTCCTCCTAGGATTTGGCTGGTGGTTCCTGCTCGGGCCCAAATTTAAAAAGCTACAGGACGAAGGACCGTCTTCGTGGAAGTGCAAGAGGACCAACTGATGCAGTCTGAATACTGGATGGACTAGCAAGGTTGTTTTAGTTTTGTGACAAAGACATATCCCATAATCAATAAACAGGAATATAGGTATTTTTAAATGCCACATGGCTGAAAAAAGGGGTGGCTGAGATGTTGGTATGTTTGTATGCGATACCACTTGCCCTCCTAGTATGAAAATGTAAGTTCAGAAAGTAATTGTTAAAAACTGGCACATCTACTGCACATATCCCTGAGCCCTGGCCGTGGAGCCAGAGCCGCTGGTACAACCAGCAGCTGAACTTTGTACAGTAACCATGGAGAAGCTCATTGTGCCACGTCTGGCTGCACAGCAGCCTTCTCAGCTAACTTCCAGCTCTTTTGTTTTCAGACAGAAATGATCTGACACGGGGAGTTGACCCAGGGAAGGATGTCAAAGGCTTTTTGACTTGTAGGTTGAGCATGTTGTACTGTGGAATTCCCAGTGGGAAGATAAATGTAAAATGTCTGTGGGCTTTGTTTCTTCTCGCTTTCTGAACCGTAACCACACCTCAAAGGGTGAAATGTTTCATATATTCTTTTAAATGTATTTTCTGGCTTTTATAAGCTTTAAAGATTTATAAGAAAATATTTTTATAAACAAATTACGTTTAATTTATTTCTGCTGTTTCAAAGCATTTTGATTTACATTCAAGATACTTTCTTGATGCAAAATTGTCTGAGGTAGGACTTAAGAGTAACGCACAATACTCCCAGCCTTAAGTCCTGGAGATGTAAGCTGGACAGTGCAGCAGGCAGCACACGAAGGACAGGCTTTGGAAGGATGGCACACAGCCCATGGGAGGCAGTGGCTGTTCCCAGGGAACGATTTGATAGTGTCGGTTCCTCTGTGTCACCAAAACTCAAACATTCAGTTTCCAAGTTAGTGCTAAAAATGTGACTGTTCCCAGCTCTGACTCAGAAAAGGTCAGTGCCTTTGAAAGCAAATTGGTGAAGAGAAACTTGCCAAACAAGCTAAATCCTGCGGTACAGCAGCTGCAGGTATTCGTGCCCCATGCTGCGGAGTGGACGCGTTCCTGTTGGGTTTGTCAGAAAGGACTTTCCTCCTGAGTGCCTTCGCCATGTACAGCAGCGTCCTGGGCGCCTGGAGAGAGGGCACCTGGGCGTTGTTGGATGTATGTGGAGTGGCATTATTGAAAAAGAAAACTATTAAAAATACCTTTGAAAGGTACATGATTTTCTTTTCCACTCTGTCTCTTGCTTTTTCAATATTGGAAGTATTTGCATCCTGAGCTTGGTGTTCCAAACTCGGGGACGAGGTGCGTTGTGGATCTTTTGTTACTGTTTGTTTCAGGGGAAAAAAAATAAATCAATACCAGCTTATGGCTGACTGGAGGGCACATGTGGGTGTGTGCAAAGTGTCTACATGACATAAAGAGTACAAAGGTGTCCAGAAGAGGATGGCGTGACCACGTGCTTCCTGAGGCACTGAAGCCTGGGCCATGGTCTCTTCCCTCTCCTGTCCCAGTGAGACCCTTGCTGATGCCAAACCTGCAGCTCTCCCCTGCCTGGGATCCACGGTCCAGCCACAGACCCTTCTGTTTTTTTTCCAGTACAGACATATCAATCAAGCTAAACAAAATCACATTGGTTTTACTCCCCAAACTTAAAGTCTTCCCATTTCACCTCTGCATAAGCAAAAAAAAAAAAAAAAGAGTATCTCAGAGGTTTGTGGTGGAAGGTGGATGCATCTTTCAGTCTGAGACAGATCATTTCCCCAGGATCAACTGTGTATGAGGCATTTCTCTGTCTGTACTGGAGCAACTGGCCACTTACTCTAACTGCATCTTTTTCATACCTAAAGGGTTGTTGGTTTGGTTTTTTTAAACTTTTCAGACTTGTAGAAAAAAATTTTCAAGTGCAGAATATGGGAAATTAAGTTCATGGATGTTCTAGAGTTGGTGTTTACTTTGCAGTTTTCTTTCACTATGTCTGAAGGTGACAGGTAAATATGGGTTGAGGATTGCTCATAGAATCAGTTAGGTATGAAAGACCCTTAATATCATCATAAACCTTATCAGTACATTAGATGATTTTGAAAACATCACAATTAAACTCCAAATGAGCAGTCACATTTTTGAAATGTGACCTAAATTAAATAACTGTCACCTCTGTCAAATTGCAGGAACAAGTGGTGGATTCGGGGTTTTAAATCTGTGTTGCTGTTTTGTAACACAAGTCAGAAACATTGCTGCTCTACCAGGTGGTTTGGAAGAGCCTGTCAACTTTTGGTCTTGCTGCTTTTTTTCTCTCAACCCTATTTTACACTGAAATAACTTTTTTTTTTTTTTTTTTTTTTAAATATTAGAATTAGTGTTGACTTAAACATCTTTAACATAAAAAAAAAAAAAACAAACCAACTTTTAAAAAAGACAGGCAGAAAGAAGCAACTCAAGCTTTTCCTTGTGAGTCTTACTGAAATGGGAACTGGAGAAGGTGAATGGTACCAGGTGCTGCTAAAGGTCCCTCAGTTACTGCTGGGCCTTGGGGGTCCTATGTGGCCTGGGGAGGAGGTCAGGTGTGTGTTATCTCTAGCAAAAGCGAAATGGCAGAAATGGGATTTTTGTAGGTAAAGGGCTTGTTTGGTTTAAATTCCCGAGCAGGATCATTGTGAAGTGAGATGGGTCCCAGGGGAGAGGGTGGAGTGAAGGGTCAGTGCATCAGGACTTGGAGGTGGAGGACAGCTCTCCCCTTCAGTGCCTGTTGTGTCCCGAGACTGCCTTAAGAGGCAAACACTGACACTCCAAAATTCAATTCTGTGCGTGGAAAGGGGGTGTTTAAGGTTTGCCAAGCTGTGTAAAAAGGGACTGTTCACCTGCTGCTGCAGGAGTTTCATTGTCTGCTGCATGTTCTTGGTGTAGTTTCACAAGATGATTAATTAAACACTGCTTTAAACTGGCTGATGAGAGAGAGTGTTCAGGTGATTTTTGATCTGATAGAATAGGGAATAGAAGAGAGTTCTGTCACAGTGGAATTGGCTGGGACAGCAGAGCATCTCCTCTCAGCAGGGAGTGGAGCCACGACTCTGCAGGCAGCAACACTATCTCACTTTCTTGACTCCCCCTGCAATGAAACAATGCTCCTTATTCAGCTTTTTTACCCAGTTTACAAACTAGCAAACTCAGCAGCATGCTTTCAAATTGTTGTTTGGCTACAAACTATGGTTTTGTTGAAATACAGGAGTTTGCACTATTTCTATATTAATCCTAACATGTTCTTGCTTAATAAATGAAGTAAAGCTAACAGTTATGCAGCTTTATTTGAAAAAAAAATTAAAGGGGTAATATATACTTGTACATTTTTTGGTAGTTTTACTATTTGGTAAAGCCATAATAGTTTACTAAACCGGATGAGCGGCTC